GAGAGAGAGAGAGAGAGAGAGAGAGAGAGAGAGAGAGAGAGAGAGAGAGAGAAGGGGAGCGAGAGGGAGACAAATAGACCGAAATTGGAAAAGGCTAGCGATTTGATTGGCTGTACGTTCCAATTCTGGTTCCCATTCTGTTCCATATATTGACCAATGATTTAACGCGTAGCTGCTTAAAATAAACACGTGATGTTTCGGCCAATAAAATCGCGCGACACGTGCGCGTTAGACTGTCTTGGTAAGATAAGATAAGATAAACTTTATTTTCATCGGTATGTGGCAAGATACATAACATGAGCTATACAGGTCTTTGACCGATGCCTCTTGGTGATGGCAGAGTCTGAAGCAGAGTGGCCACCGATAATGGATTTAGACGAACGAGGTAGGAGGGAAGGAAAGAGATAAGTTTAAAGTTGATAAAAGAGCCAACGGATGTGTTAAGAATAGTGTACCGGTACTCGGTAGGCTAGTATGTTGTGTAATGTTTGGGTTGTATTGTTGTGTGCGTGTAATGCTTGTGCGCGAGAGCGCTGTAGATGTACGAATGTGCGTGAAGTTACTTCCTAGAACTAGCTCTAGTAGTAGTACTAGTAGTATTGGGCCCTAAAATAACATCAGAATATAAAAATTTTTAGGGCACAATTTATTGGTCTACGACTACGTTTCTTGGAGGTACTACTACTACTACTACTAGTACTAGCAATAGCCTTCCAAGTTCCATAGACAAAACCTGTGAATTTTGTTGTGCAAAATGCACGACAACCTTTTCACTATTTACGGCCGTGTTTAGGCCAAGACACACTGCAGCGACAACGACCGACCGTAACGACAAACGACTTTTCAGAAAATTAGAAACTATTGTTTCCTATGAGCCATTGCACACTGACGCGACGACGACCGACGACAATCTCGACGACAAAAATATTTTGAAACGTTTCTATTTTCCAGCGACTTTCGCCGGCAACACTTTACAAATGATCAATCACAGCCGTTTCCATCTGCACGTGACATCGCCATTACGTCATAAAATTATAAACCAATGCTAGCCAGGAAGTAGACTGGTCCCTAGATATAATAATGTAACCCAAACACAGGATAGGGTTACAACGCGAGCCTATGGTTTTCTGTGGAGGAACCCCTGAGTGAATCATTCAGGGCAGTTTGCTGGTGCGTTTTCAAAGACTAGAACTTCCGACCTGGGTTTATTCTCAACACGAACCTTTCTCCGCTATCTTGGGACTTACTATGTATCACAATACTCTGTATTAAACTATTATAACCAGTTACAATGACTCGTGTCTCTGCGTTTTCGGCTGACTATGGCGCATGCATGGCATGGCACACTCACGCATGCACGCACGTGTACGTGCACACGCACGCACTTGTATGTGCACACGCACGCATGTGTACGTGCATATGTAGTTAAGCACGCGCGCACGTGTACATCCAAACGCACGCACGCACAGACGCATGTACGCACGTGTAAGTGCGCACGCACGCACGCACGAACGCACGTGTACGTACGCACGTAGGTGTACGTGCACAAGCACGCACAGACGCATGTACGCACGTGTAAGTGCACACGCACGCACACACGCACGCACGAACGCACGTGTACGTACACACGCATGTGTACTTGCACACGCACACGTTCACACGCACACATGCACGCACGTGTACGCACGCACGCACGCACACACACGTATACGTGCACACACACGCACGCACGCACACACGCACGCATGCACGCACGTGTACGTGCACAGGCACTTGTACGTGTCACGCGCGCTCGCACGCACGTGTACTTGCATGCACTCGCACGCACACACGTGTAAGTTCAGACGAACGCACACACGCACGCACGCACGTGTACGTGCGCACGCACGCACGCAGCACGCACGTGTACGTGCACTACATAAACAGTGCTTTCTATCAGAACATGTGGTCATTCATCTGTAAATGTCAAGCAGCACGCTTCGCTTCTGCCAACCACAACACATAACAAATACACGTGACCTGATTTATGACGTCAAGTGAAACATCGCTATACACTTTCGAATGTCTACGATGCACTGTTGCGATTTTTTCCCTTTTTTCCGATTTTGTCCTTTTTTTCCCGATTTTTTCCCTTTTTCCGATTTTTTCCTTTTTTTAATCAAAACTGGACTCGGTCTCGGACTCGGACTCGGGTGGTGTGGACTCGGACTCGGGTGGCGCGGACTCGGACTCGGACTCGGACTCGGGGGGGTGCGGACTCGGACTCGGACTCGGGGGGTGCGGACTCGACTACAACACTAATAGTAAGACCCAGGATAGCGGAGAAAGGTTCGTGTTTAGAATAAACCCAGTTTGGAAGTTCTAGTCTCGAAAAACGCACCATAAAACCGTCCTGAGTGAATCAGTCAGGGGCTCCTCCAAAGAAAAGAATAGGCTCGCGTTGTAACCCTACTCTTGTTGAGTTACATTATAGTTACTAGAGCTATCCTAGACCTAGTCCTAGTTCCTTATTTTCAAAAATAAGTAAATGGACCTTCACATTAGTCATTACATTTAAACTCGCCGCAAGCTAGAAAATAGCATGAGCACCATCCACAACCTGTTCTACATCTGTTTCCTTGATCCGTGATCCTTGATTGAAGCTTCTTAGAGCTGTATTGGCCTGTTGTATGTAGCACTTGTATGGCAATGTCTCATACTCATAGTAATGGCACATATATATATTTAAAAGCTGGTAAAAACTGGTAGGTGACGCTGGGTTAAATGTGGGCGGTCTGGATAACGAACTCACCCAGGAGTCTAGTGATCTCAGTTCTATGCTCATTTAGACTATCCTTGAGCAGGGTCCACACACAATAAAATATCCTCACTTAGACTAAGTTAGAGTTCCTACTCCACACTGTTTGAAAATCTTGTGCTGAAGGAGTCCATGGTGTCCATGTGTTTCTATGGTGAAAAAAAAGTGAACTACGTGCCTAAATGTCGCTGCTGTAAAATAAGAATTTATTGTGGATATTTTGGAGCTGATCTAGAAGACATGACCCATTGTATATTGTATTGTAGACATGAAGTATTGTGGGACATGTCTTCTAGACTAGGGCTGATATTTTATCTGTATTACTATGCGGTAGAGTATCCACTTGCGCTATTTTACCGTACACCACATTTTATGACGTCATCAACATTACGTTCAAATTTCATAAGGTTTAGCTATATATCTAGAAAATGTTTAGGTTCAAATCCCATTTATTTCAACACATTTTAGCCCTGTTTGATCGTGGAAGCTATTTTCCGTGAATCACGTTTCCAATAAGAAAACCTTTTGAACACATTCATAATATACTAACATACATATATACACATACATAAATATACTAGCCAATCAGAAGTACTGTACGGTAAAATAGCGGAAGTGGATACTCTGCTGTATACGGTTTAATCCACTGTGTTTTATATTCGAGCACCCTATCGTTTTCGAGATAATTTCTACCGGAAGCGGTGCACGACGCAGCGGTGCTTAATGAATCATTGCATTCACCGATCGATATCACGTTGGGATTTTTACTTTTTTTTGTAGATTTTTTGTTATTTTTTTGCTGATCACAATAAAAAGTGTCGACTCGGCAATTTAAAATGGACTCGGTCGGGTTAGCGGAAACAAACGTCTTTTTTAGGCCTTATAAGGTGACAGTCAAATCTGTATAAAAATGACTATATTATCTACAGGTATAAAATTGCAGTTTTGTGTTAATATGAGTACTTTTTCCACTCACATTCACAGTACTTAATTTTTACTTTTCAAGTTTATCAAATTCCTCACTTCAGCTTCTTAGACGAAACTCACTTACATAAAACTGTTCTCATTGGCAAGTAAGAACGAGATATAGAACCGTTCAGTGAATTGAAATGCTCTAGAGTATACCTCGTTTTTTTTATCTGTTTCTTTCTGTATTCGTGAGAAATAGCAGACCCGGAGTGAGAGCGTGAGATTAGCCTCAATTGCGTGAGTCTCACGCCGAATGCGTGAGAGTTGGCAGCCTTGTAAAATAATATTACGGATACTGTACTGTGAATGAATGTGTGCTGCATAATGCTGCGAAGCAATCGACAATGAGGATCGACGGAAATTTTCATTGTTGCTAATTTTGGTAATATGTTTTAATACTCTACGCACCTCAGAGAACAGGTAATGAATTCTAAAAGTCCCCGACAAAAAACAACAACAATGTTGTGTCCTTCATATATTGTTGTACTGTTGTACATGAATTGTTTTAATGTTGCTTGCAGAATATCCTCTTCCTGAGGGCTGGAGGCAAACTCTGCCGGAAGCGGATCACAGATGGGTTTCCCGTGCCCTGTTCCATTTCTCGAGCAGAGGGATGCCGGAATTGGATTCCGTCAAGCTGACTCAGCAGTGGTTCTACCCACCACAGCCACTCCTGAACTGCGACCAAGCACCTCGTCCAGATCACTACTTCGCTAGCCGTCTGCTGTTGTGGATGCCTCAGAGGATGTGGAAGGTCCGGCTGCTTTGTCCTCACCCACGCTGTCGTGGGCAGGAGTTGACAGGTGCCGGTATCTACCCACGCCTCCGACAGGTTCTCGACATAGACGGCTTTTACCATCTAGCCGCGGAGTATCTGGAGTGCAAGAACTGCAATGGGAAGCTGATCTCGTGGTCTAGAGCCATAGTGGAGCAGCTTGACGTTGGTCACCAAGTCCAGTTTCGGGTGCTCTTGACATACCGGTAAATATCTCATTGGTAAATTTTGTAGAAGTTCGCATTTCCTCGTATAACGTTTTTTTTTAAACAAAAACATTGATCATTACTTAGCTTGTGCATGGTTGCTATACATGCTCGTATGAATAATCGCTGACTGCATGATAATAATTCTTCGTCGTTCAGAAACGCCTGCGACGTCCGCGTCATCGCCCTCATGCGTCAACGCACGCTTGGGAACAGCGCCACCGCGCTGCAGCAGAGGTTGGAGGAGGCACACTCCGATGCGTGGCTTCGGAATGCGTGTCACTACCTGGCAGACTGCAAGGCATTCAAGGATGCCCAGGACCGTCATCTACTGTGCAGTATGCCAGCCTTCCAGGACCCTCCGACGGCTCGACCCGTTCCCAAGGCTGCTTGGTTGCTGAGGGTGTACTGCAGCGACGTCATGCGGCGAATCGATGAAGTCAAGGCATCGATCACCTCCACCTACGGTAGAGTCCTGAAGATGGACTCTACTAAGAAGGTGATTATGAAAAATTTACTAATATCGTCTACTCTTTCCTTTGTCATTGACAATTATTTGTATTATTGTCATTTCATAGTATTGCACTGAGTAACTGTTGCGTATCTTCATTTTGTATTCGAAGGTGGTGCGGAAACTAGCCGGTCACGTGAACGGAACGGCGGCGTGGGCCACGAACATTGGCAACGAGTATGGCCAGGTTTTGAACAGCGTGCTGACCTCTGGAAACGGTTTCGGTCTCGCACCCATGGTGAGTGGCATTGTCAAACGCTACTCCTCTGCAGGTATTGCACCTCCAGAAGTCCTTTACGTGGGCCGTGGTTGTTGCGGTGACCCCCGGATCCGAGACATATTCGCTGCCTGGCCAGATCTCATCATCCGCCTTGATGTGTGGCACTTCATGCGCCGTTTGGCCGCTGGCTGCACGACAGAGTCTCACCAGCTCTACGGAGTCTTCATGAGTCGTCTCTCTGCGTGCATATTCGAGTGGAGTGGGGAGGACCTGCAGGCGTTGAAAAATGCCAAGCGGTCCGAACTGCTCGCTCAGCACGTGGAGGACCCATCGGAGGATGATGTTGTCCGGCGGCTCTCTAAGAAGGAGCTTGCCCTTCACTGCCGGCGCAAGACCCGCGGCACCGCGGAGTCTACGCGGCTAATTGGGGAGCTGCTGGATGCATTCACTGGTGAGCAGGGATGCGATACCAGCGGCACACCGCTTCTCGATGCGAAGCGCATGACGGTGCTCTGGGAATCGCAGGAGCAACACGTGGCCTGCATACAGGATCCTGCGGAGTGCCAGCTCTACACCCAGACTGGGACCCGCGTCAAGGGGACAGTTAGCTTGCCCGTGTACACGTGTGCTCGAGGTTTGTCCAGTCTCGAATCCTTTCACCTGCATCTCGCCAGGTTCATACCAGGTAATTATTATATAATACTAGTGCATATGTATGTGGTTCTTGACGCAGCGACTCATTTTGCGATCTGTAGTAGTAAATGTATGGCACGAGTGTCCACACGTTTGCAATGTCTCTACGGAGTCGTTTATATTAGAAATTTTCGACTCTGCATTCACTTGTTGATGTGGCTTTCTGACTCTGTTTATTTTCTTGCAGGTACAAGTGCTAGTGATGTACACTACCAGATGTACCTGCTGGAGGGCCTGGCGAGATGGAACAAGGATCGAGCCAAAGCCACCAAGAGCGAGCCAGACTGCCGCAGTTACAACAGCCGCAGTTACAACAGCCGCCTCATGCATGCGTGCAATGAGTTGAGCTCCGCTGTGCTAGGCAAGACGCTCATCTCTGGTTTCGACGTCCCTGCAGCTTACACGGGTAACGTACCTACTAAATATTCACTTAGAGCGTATTCGACTTCTTAAAACCACCGCATTTGAACAGTGCTGTTTCGCTCGCACAATCCTTTTTCTGACTGCACTATGTTTGAGTTAAAAATTGCTGACAGCTATATGTAATGTCATCACGATTGCATTCGTTACAGGAGAGCTCATTGGTGTCGAATACCTGTACAGCCAGACTGGTGCGGTGCTTCAGGACCTCGCTCTGGATCCTGATAGCAGGGAGGCCGCCCAGTACGAGGCTACGGACGACATCATTGATGCTGAGGCTGACGAAAGCTTTGCAGACGCGGGTTTAGCTGACGACCTGACTCTACCTCCGGTAGAGCGTAGCGTTCGTCTTCCGTCGAACCCTGTGACTCGGCCGGACACGCAGCCCCTCATTACTGACTCGAGTGCAGCTACACCGGAGGGCTTGGACTCGGTAGCCGAAGTAAGTTTTCACTCGTCTTTCAATTGCTTTTCACTCCCAATGCATGCTTGCTCGTGCCGGGATCTGTAATAAATTTGTGTTTTTCACAGGATTCGGTCGGACCTGACAACATCGGCGGTTTCGCCAGAGACGCCGATGACAATGCGCCAGAGACGACTCTGTGGTACAGGGCCGATGGCAGCTGGAGTAAGCTTGCTCTGCCACCTGCATCGATATCTGTGCCACTGGCCACAGACGTCTCTCCACAGTGCATCAGCGTCCCACTACCGGCAGCCGCCAGCGCAGATCGTCTTCCAGCCGCATGGGCTCTCTCTGCAGTGGCGCAAGCAGCTGATCAGCCGCAGCACACTTATGAGCCGCCCGATAACACCGCGGGCCAAATGCATGCTGCATGCAGAAAGCTTGCGCTGCCACCTGCATCAATATCTGTGCCACTGGCCACAGACATCCCTTCGTGCAGCAGTCAGGCAGTCTACACCAGCAATGCCTATGTGCCAAGGACGACTCTGTGGTACCAGAAGCGCAAGCTAGCCCGCGCGCAAGCAGGCCAGATAACCCGTGCCTACAGGAAAAGAGCACCCACCGTGTGCAAGAAATGCCAAAAGGAGCGGGGCCCGGCACAGCACAGACAGTATTACGGGAACTGGTATTGTGCTGCAACGTCGACCGTTCCATTCCAGCAGTGGTGGGCCGAGATGGAAGAGAAGCGACGGGCGAATAGGCGGCAATAATTCGAATTATATGGACACTAAGTGCATCATCTATATGGACACAATGTGAATCGCGAGAGACACTAAGTGCATCATCTATATGGACACAATGTGCATCGCAAGAGACACTAAGCGCATCGTCTATATGGACACAATGTGCATTGCGAGAGACACTAAGTGCATTAATTAATATATTCCTCTCCTTGTGCTGATACCTTGAAGTTGGTGGCGAGGCTTGAGAGCTTCAGTGATCCTGTAGGCTATACCGGCAGAGGCTCATGTCTCTGGCAGGTTCAACCAAGCCAGGCAGTTTACAGGTGAGAGGCCTGACGAAAATCAGCACATATGCAGCGCTTCATTATTACATGGGTGGAGGCTTGGCGCCGGACTCGACTGACTAGCTGGTGGACGTAGAACTCGGACGGCGAGACTGCGCCACCATGCATCTGAACGAGCCGTCGTCGCCCTCCTCTCTTTCCCACCTCCTCCCCATGGTCTGCTGGCTTTTCCTTCTCCTGCTTTATCGTGGTTCAGCAATGGCTGCAGAAGCTGCAGCATCCGTGGAAGCCACTCTAGAGGCCTGGCGGAGCACACCCAGTATTACGGGAACTGGTAATTCCTAACAGCTTGTTGAAGCATTCTTCCTACGCAGTGTTTCTTCAAACTCTTCTCTGGAGCTTCGTCACTTGTATCTTCCTCGCCAGCGACGATTGGCTCGCGATGGATTACATCAGGGTTGAACAAACTACTTCTTCACCATCGGCTGACAATTATTCGCATTATTGTAATTTCCTAGTATTCCTTACGACGTTCATGCGATCTAAGAATACCAGCTGATGTACATTCCTCCAACGCAATCGAACGGACTCTTTCTTCGCCATCGGGTCGAGCTCATCTCCTGCGCCACCACTAAGGAGATGAGTGACCAATTATTATACACTTGGACAAACAGCTACTCAGTGAAACAAACCAGCCTTATTATAGCACAACGTGCACAGAAGCCAAACAGCAAGACAAAGATGGGGAGAGAGTCGCGTAACCCACGAGTGCGAGCGTCATCTACCGGGCTAGATCGGTAGCATTCAAACGTAAACTAACTATGCCACTGCAGTGCTGGTGCTGATGTGTAGTAAGAGGCACTAGCTGAGTCACCTATGTGGATACACTGTGCATCGTGAGAGACACTCGCCTCCACCTCCTCTGGTCCGCGACAGCTTGTCGAGGCATTTCTCCAACTGCTAGTTGATAGCGGCAAAATATCAAAAGAAAGGCATGTCTTGTAAAGATAGAAAAAACAAAGAGTCTTGTATGAGTTGAAGAAGTAGTCACACATCCTGGAAGGTTTGTAAGCTCAAGCTTCTTGCCACCCGCTGGCTGTCCATTTTCCTAGTTCCTTTACTTTCTGCATGCGTTCTTTATATATGTATAATATGTCTCCGGAGTCGACTGACTAATTATGGTGAGCACCGCTTATTGTGGATGCTCTCTAGAACTAATGACTTCAACGGCCATCTAAACTAATAACACCATGTATCTTCTCAAAGGTTAACAATAGCGGATGCCTTCTGGTACCAATTATCAAGTAAATCGGGACGATCAGCGACACCAATGACAATGTGCCGAAGATGACTCTGTGGTACAAGAAACGCAAGCTAGCCCGCGCGCAAGCAGGTGAGATATCCCATGCATACAAGCAAAGAGTGCCCATCGTCTGCAAGAAGTGCTAACAGGAGCCGGCCCCGGCGCAGCACACCTAGTATTACGTGAACTGGAATGTGCTGCAACGGCAACCGTTTCGTTCGAGCCGTGGCGGGCCGAGCTGGAAGAGAAGCAATGGACGAATACGCAGCAATAATTCTAATTATATGGACACAATGTGCATCTGCTCACATCTGCCTCAAGTGTGTCTCACTTCTCCTCACATCTGCCTCAAGTGTCCCTCAAGTGTGTCTCACTTCTCTCCTAACGTCTGCCTTAAGTGTGCATCATGCCTGTTATATAAATCGCGTCACATCTGCCTCAAGTGTGCCTCAAGTGTGTTTCACTTCTCCTCACATCTGCCTCAAGTGTGTCTCAAGTGTGTCTCACTTCTCCTCACGTGTGCCTCATGCCTGTCTCGTGCCTGTCTCACATCTGTCTCACGCCTGTCTCACTATTGTAGGTGGTTACACGGAGGACCGTCCGACGATCCTCATGTACTGGCGCGTCGTCGAGGGATTCACCGAAAACCAGAAACGCCTGCTGCTCAAATTCATCACCAGCTGCTCGCGACCCTCGCTGCTAGGGTTCAAGGTCAGTGATGCTCATGCCCGCTTTCGTTACCGGTTGAGTTTTGGCATCGGTATATATGTTGTCACAGAGAGATGAGCATCAGTCTCAAGTAGCATTGGCATCGGTCGTGCAGCGACATGTCATATCGTAATCATATCTGTCATCGTCACCTCTGAATGTTTTACTGGTTACTTTGCTACGTGGCAGCTCTGGTTAAGGCTGTGTGTAGTGGCAGCTAAGTTTTACCACTGTTTTCTTTGCGCTGCTATGTGTAATATTGTCACATCGTAATGTCAGCAGTCACATCTGTCTGTCACCTATCATTCCCTCACCTCTCACACACTCCCCTGTCACACACTCGTCTGTCACACACTCACCTGTCCCACACCTCTCACTCTCTCACCTGTCTCTTACCTCTCCCTACAGGAGCTGTTCCCACCGATCAGCATCGGTAACGCAGGCGCAGACATCCGACGACTGCCGTCAGCGTCTACGTGCATGAACCTTCTCAAGCTTCCCCAGTACCCGAACGACGACCTCCTCTCCACCAAGCTGCTCTACGCCATCGAGTCCGACGCCGGCTTCGAGCTCAGCTGATGCGGCGCCCCCTGGAGGCCGACGCCGGCGCCCCCGGTGGCGTGCGTGAACCTGCTCAAGCTTCGCCACGAAGCTCAGCTGATGCAGCACCCCTGATGGGAGACAACGATGCGAGGATTTCGTCGTCGTGCAAGGGGGTGGTCGCGTAGCGGGGGAGGGGGCGTTGCTCCGTGAGAGGGGAGTGTGGGAGGAGGTGTCGTGAGTTGTGGGTGGTTGTGGGTGTGAGTTGTGGGTGGTTGTGGGTGTGTGGGCCGGAGGGGAGGGGGGGTGCGAGTGGACGTGAGGCTCGAGAAGGTTTTATCGATAGATCATACGAGATGGTGTTCATGCGAGAAGCATACGTTTTACGCCCCGATATCGACTCTGGTTAACTTGGATTAACTTGGATTCTACACTTGGATTGTAGACTCGGATTGACTTACCGGATGTGGCACAAGCAGCAGCGAGGGAATGTAAAGAGGGAGAGGGGGAAACGAAGGATGCGGGAAAGCTTTTGACTGAAGATTGATTGATTCGAAGTTGAGCCTTACTTGAGTTTACGGTACTCGGTATGTTGGCGTGCGCTCTGTTAGGCAACGCCCTCTAGTGAGCTGTAAGCCTAAATGTCCATCAGACCAGAGCTTCTCATAGAAAGAATAATAATAAAGGAAAAACTGCGAGGTGGTGGCGTCTGTGGATGGGTAATCTATCCGATGCCGTCAATAGCGTATTAAGTATGCTTATTACGTAATGAGTATTAAGCATACTTAATACGCTTCTGATGCCGTGCATTTTGGGTGCAAGCCCCACCTCATAGACACAATACAGTGCCATTTATATTTTATTAAAGGCATAATAGGTCCATTGATTATGCAATTTTAACGAATACTAGAGTAACTGGCACCTTGTGTAGTTAATAAGTACATTACCTTATAGCCAAACGCGTATTAGTTTGTCCAATATCACTGCTAGTTACTAAGAAATGTCGAATTGAAATCCGTAAATCTGGTAATCTGGCGCCAACGCTAAATTGCTTGCCAAGCAATATAGCCTCGATTTCGGTTCGGTGACGTCACATGTTGCTACGGGTGTTTAGCAGAGAATTGTTTGTTCCGGGATGCTTATAACGACTAATGAGCTAGTAGAATGTATCTCTGGGTGTATTCTCGGTATTGAGCAGAGGCACAAGTAAATAACCGTGGGTACTAATGAACGGGTACCCACATGTCTTCAATTTCGAACACAGGTGTATTCGTTTGACCAATATACGTAAATGCACGTAGTGCCGTCTGCTTTCCATGTTTAGTCTGTGGCCGTGGTTAGTCCGCGATCCCCCCATAGTGTTGGCCCCAAACACAGCCTACTTCCTTATCGCGGCAGCTTTTTGAAAGTGGCCAACCGATTTTTGGACTGCAGATTTCAATTCGACATTTCTTAGTAACTAGCAGTGATATCGGACAAACTAATACGCGTTTGGCTATAAGGTAATGTACTTATTAACTACACAAGAGGCCAGTTACTCTAGCATTCGTTAAAATTGCATAATTAATGGACCTATTATGCCTTTAATATTATACCGTATTAAACTAGAAAGGGCAGTTGTCGCCAACTACATGTATCCCCCGTGTTCTCCCTAAGATGTGTAAGTATACGAAGTTTGGTTGCGCTAGGTCAATTAGGGGCCGAGTTATAGAGCGGAAGGGAAATATGATGAAGGTCAAGGTCAAAGTCAAATAAAGGTTGCAGTGACCTGGTTTCGGTACACGACACACCTTCTCCCCAAGATGTGTAAGTATACCAAGTTTGGTCACGCTAGGTCAATTAGGGTTCGAGTTATAGAGCGGAAGGGAAATATGCTCAAGGTAAAGGTCAAATAAAGGTCGTAGTGACATGGTTTGTACGCCTGCTCACCTTCCACCCAAGATGTGTAAGTAATTACCAGTTTTGGTAGCTGCTAGGGTCAATTAGTGGTCCGAGTTAGACGAGCAGAAGGGAAATTATGGTATCAAGGGTAAGGGTGAGCCGTCAAGATAAAGTCGAGTACTGTGGTTTTGGTAGCCTGCAACAACTTTCTCCCGCAAGATGTGTAAATACCAGTTTGGTCATCGCTACGTGTCAATAGGGTCGCGTTATAGAGCGAAAGGGAATTCCTCTTGGCGGCGGACCGAGCGGCGCGTGGGCTGCGGCGGCGGCTGGGAGACATGAAACCATTCGTATCTCCCGCCGACTCTGGTCATGGGGGATACAATTATTCAGCGTCTGTATTGGCAGTTAGGGCCGATGTGTTAATCTACGTAAGGAGTTTGTTCAAGCCGACGGAAGAACGGCTTTTCCATGCTCAAAGACGGAACCGTCTTTATTCAGAAACGTGCATTTCCGGAGCGTCTCGAAAGTTCGCCCCGTTAAAGCATCATGAGGGATACTTTTCTTGCTTGGTATGTGTGGTGCAGACGCGAGCGTAGCGCCATTTTTATATGCCGTTTTCACTTGTAAACTTGGAATAATTTGATTCGAAAATTCGAATGGCGGCTGCTGAGGGGTTCCTGAAGATGACTGAACCTCTTGTGTGGGCTGCGACGCTGCCTTATATGTAAAAGCGCGTGCAGAAAACTGAATTTTTGCGCGTTGCTTGGTCGCCAACAAATTTTTTTTTCTTCACATTTTCATGGTTTATGCACGTAACCGTGTATTGTTAATGCACTCCGTAAGCCTTCATATATATATATAATATATATATTATATTATATATATATATACATAACCAATGCCTTCTTGTGAATGTGAGATGCCTTGCAACACTAACTTTTCGCTGTGTGCTAAATATTTAAACAGTGTGATATATCAGCCAGTCCCTCGTGGCCGCGTATAGGCCTGTAAATATGCTTATGTACGCCGTGGTTATTATTAAACGCATATTGTTTCTATTGTAGCGTCCGTCGTGTAAAGTTTTGCCGTGTACAAGAATAGAGACGCGTTGCTTGTTATTTTTTTGTCATGTTAGAGTGCGGGACAGGCATTAGCAGTGTGCACCTGTCGTATTTGTTGTGGGTTAATTTATTCGAAAAGCAGCCCACCTTCACCCACCCTCACCCAGCTCGCTACGGGATATCAGAGTGTCATAATATAGATAAATGTAGTCTATATTATGACGATTCTATTGATATCGCTCAAACTACAGTTTTAATTCTTTTACCGAGTGTTTTACAGTTGTGATGTGCGGCTGCGTGCTGCCTGCTCTGGCCGCTTGCTGGCTGCTACGTACTGCTGCTGCTGCTGCGCTACTACTGGGCTGCCTACGCCGCTGCTGGCTGCTGCTTACTACTGCTGCTGCCGGCTGCTACTACTGCTAGCTGCTGCTGCTGGCTGCTGGCCGCGCTACTGCCGCTCTGCTGCTGGCTGCTCTGCTGTTCTATTCTGCAAGAATTTTCTCTCGAAATACTCGCTGACATAGTGGTATCATGTCATCAGGAGCATAGTGCTGTAGCCTGGCCTGCTGTTACCCCGCCCTAGCGTGCGGGGGCGACGCCACAAGCGTATGATATAGACAGTACACACATCGGAGACAGTGTAAATGCATAACTAGGGTCGCCTTCTGAAGCTTCATATAGCATGATACTACTAATATATATATTACTAGCTATTGACCCGTCCTAGACGGGTTTGCAGTGGGGTAATGATTTGAGGAAAGGCGGTTTAACACATTTATCTCTCCTTTTAGTTGAGGAGTGTATTTACAGTAAAGTACTGATATGTAGACTCCGAAAGTCAATATACTGCAATATTTGTTTAAAAGCGATTGTTATCTAAATATAGTATAAAATTGAAATTTTATTAGAAATTACGCATACAATTTTTCAAATAAAGGGAAATGGGGTAATTTCATAGTACAATTTCACTTATTATAGATATTATTTTGAAATATCATTCTGTACGAACATTATTAATAGAGTCAAATTCTTAAATAAAAAGCAAAATTGCGCATTGAGTATTTTGAAGATATTGTTTGTGAAAGTCAGTGAATCGGCGGCGGCAGGTTACACTCCCGTGTCAATATTTGCAGCACACGCGGCGCGCACGCGACGCACACACGGGCATGCGTAAGGCACAATCACACGTGCACGCCACACGCAACACAAATACACCACATGCACTACTGCACACACACGCACACGCACACACCGCTACACTACATACACACACACGCGCACGAGCAACACGTGCACACGCCCACAACCGACATCACCACACATACAACTGCATGCCGTATCTTCGTTGGGTTTTGTCTTAAATTTTCGTCTTCAACGAACTGTGCGCGGCAGTGATTGGCTGTTTATACAGCCGCAAGCCGCAATGTCTTTGGTGTGCGTGTGCGCGCGTGCCGGTGTGCGTGCGTGCGTTCGTGCGTGCGTTAGTGTGCGCTTGCTATGCTAGGTGAAGGGTCACTAATGTAAAGTGCCTTATTATTATGACCTTTAATCTACATTTAGTATACTACATTATCATTAAAACGCGCGTGAGAAAACACTTAAATAGTTTACACAATTTCAAAAGTTTATGGTATATATAGTGTGGTATTGTGTGTGCTCTTAACAACGAAACGGTCTAACAATGTCAGCGCATTGGAGCCGGGTAAGCGCGGGCACGGTACACCTCCGTTGTCAATATTTGCACACCGCGCGCACGCAGCGCACACACCGCATTCACAACACCACCATACGGCCAATGCGCACGCACAAATCACACGCGCACCCACGCACACACATACCACATTTACACACACGGGCGCGCACACACATACACGCACACGCGCACGCGCATGCACGCGCACACACACGCATACATACTGAACTCCGGGATGAATATTTTCGGCGGATCCGCGGACATCGCGGATTTGACAGTCGCAGGGTCAATTTTGTGAACGTGAATTCGTTGAGAAAATTGGGGGGAATAAGAATGTAAAAAATGAAATTATACCTTGAACAGTACCTGACAGTAGACTGCACAACAAGTCAACAGCGGGTGTTTACAGATAGCTAGCGTGTACGCGCCTGCCGCTGGTGCGTACGTCCGTCATGGCAAGCAGCGGTGCCGATTGTGTAT